CCAACGTAAAAAAGAAAGCTAGGACGTAAGCGAATATTACAAAAAATAAGTATGGCACAAAAAACACGTATTTTTTGTAAAAATAAACAAAAAAATAAGTGTTCGAGGACTCCCTAATACGAATCCAATGTATTCGTAAAATCTACCAGCTCTAAGAGCTATATGTAACGATCTAAAAACGATATCAAAAGAGCAGAAGATCAAAATTCGATATGATAATAATTATAAACAAGCAAAACTAAAAATACCGGGTGAGTCTCAAAAGTGGCTCACCCCTATAACTTTTTTATTTTTTCAGTTAAAAAAACGAGATTTGGTATGTCAGTATATGACATAAATTAGGATTGATTGACGTATTCAATTGTTTTCGGTCACTTCCGGTTTCACCGGAAATGACTACAAGTTTTGATTTTTAAATGACACCCCGGTATTTATTTACTTTATTCGATAGAAAATGTCACTCTGAATAGAATGACATATCATATGTCAACTTTTGACATTTTCGCATATGGTTTATTTATATATAATTATAACTTGCCATTCGTAAGTGTGTGGTATCAAATTGTTCGTAAAGAAATGCTTTTTCCAAATATGCTAATGAGCCACCCTCGTTCCATTTGAAAAAATTGAGGTATGATTAAAAATACGATTTGAGCATTTTCAAGCTGGACAGGACAAGACACTAAAAATATTAGACGATCAAATCTATTTTTCCAAGACTCCTTGATGAAGAATTAGTGTCTTTAACATAGTCATGGCACTCTAGATTGAATTTTAAGATACAATTTTTGATTAAGCGAGAATGTCAAAAGTTGACATATGATATGTCATTCTATTCAGAATGTCATTTTCTATCGAATAAAGTAAAAAAATACCGAGGGTGCTATTTAAAAATAAAAAGTTGTAGTCATTTTCTGTGAAATAGGAAGTGACCAAAAACAATTAAATACACCAATCAATCCTAATTTATGTCATATACTAACATACCAAATCTCGTTTTTTTATCTGAAAAAATAAAAAAGTTATAGGGGGTGAGCCACTTTTGAGACGCACCCGGTATATAAGCAGATAGTTACAGAATGGTAATATTTTTTAACGTAGTTATCGTTTTTATATTTCATATATTTTTTTCGTGTATTTTAATACATCGAAATAAGAGGCATGTTACTATTGTTTTATATTAACTAAGATAAATGTATTTTTTTTATTTTCATATTTTTTGAAATTTATTACTATCTACTGTAACTTTCTGCTATATAAACCTTAAAGAGTATTGGTTAAATATAAATAGAGAAAAAATCAAAAAAAAAGTAGAATAAAAAAAATTTGGTAGAATAAATAAATTGTAGAATTCTAGAGCTAGGTAGCAAGAACTAGAATAGAATTCTACAATTCACTTGGGTCTACTGCGGATTATTTGTTGTTAAAAATAGCATAATGGAGCTTGTTTAATAATATTTAAAGTAATAATATCAAATAAACTTTTAGTTACGTCATCGAGGGCGCGGTTTTTAAATTAATTGTTGCCACCCATGGACATCAGTGGCGTGCATTACATATAGGCAAAAAAGCATTGCCTACCCTTCGATTTATTCAAGACAGACGCAAAATAAAAATATATTTATCTCTATATTTACCAATGCGACCTACATTGTTTTATTTTTCTAAATAGTAAGTTAGTATTGTGTTTATTACGGTTGCAAAACCGGAAACATCATACAAAACAAACGCCACCTGTTCAACGTCTTATTATTACCTAAAAAAAAGCATCCCATTATTCGAAATCGAACGCACGGCCGCAACTTAACATTACATGGATATGGACAAGCAAAAGCAGTGCGTTACCGCAGTACGGATGCACCCGATGTCTCGATCCCGCCGATGCGGTATTGCCAGTTCCGATGTTATTACAGAACTATGCAAGAAACAGTCCATGTTATTTTATATGATCAATTTTAAATAACTGTGTTTTAGAAAGATTTGTATTATGTAGCAAATTAGAAATTTGCTTGTCTGTCATCTGTATTTGTTTCCAAATGATTTCATTTATTATTTTATTTGACTGTAAAATCATTTTGGTACATAAAACCTATTAGGCAGTGGCAATTGGCAATCTGACAATATTGTGTACGGTTATTGTTTTAGCTAATTCGCCAGTCGTTGAGTCGCCTATCGGGAAGAAATAATGATTGAATAATAGACAGATTATTCGTTTTGCATCTATAAATAATTAAATTTATTTGCTGTTATTTGAATTTAATTTTGTTTGAGTTTAAAGTTAAAATACGTTAGACAGTAAATTTTGTATATGTACATTGTACATATATATTATGTAATACATACGTTTTTTTAGTTTTTTTTTTCATATTTTTGATTCTGTTGCCTACCCTACTGTAAATGGTACTGCACGCCACTGATGGACATATTCGGCGCCGCACAGTGGATCGACCCAATGCAATTTGCTGAACATTCAGCAATTATGCAAAATTTCTAACTTAAGACATTTTTTGGAATAAATGTACTCTAAAATCTTCAAATTTGTTAAAAATAGTCATAACTTTATTATAGATAACTTACTGAAAAGCGCAGGAGTGTTTTTCCAGAATATATATTTTATTTGAATTTCCGTATTAAATTGACTATTACAAATTAAACTGCATAATTTCATACTTATTCCAAAGCTTAATGAACTTTTTATCATATTTTTATTCTATATGAATTATGACCTTGCGATTAGTCCAGTTCTTTAATAATAATAATAATAGCTCCCGAATATAGCGTTTAACGCCTTGGGAGCAGCAAGGTACAGCTTGCTATACTAGAGCCGTTCGGTATACAAGGAAGGTAATGTGGCTAGCACTACGCTTCAACCTGTGAATAAGAAGACTAAGGAAGGAGCATAATGCTATCCATGTATTCATGCATGGTGGGCGGAAAAAGCACTCTAGGGTGGGGATCCTTGACAGTTCTGTTTGACGATTCATTTGACACATTGGAATTTGATTTGAAATTTTGTGGATTTGTCAGTCTTTACGGAGCTTATTTTATGTTATTTATTATTTATTCTACTACTGATAGTTGTATAAAGGTAGTAAATCTAGATGGGAATTGTGGCAGAACTTAAATTAACAGTGACATTAGCGCGATTTATCGAAAAAGACTCTAAAATAGTTGGTTGTGTAGCGTGCGGTAGATCTCGGCAAAAATTGAGTGAAATAATGGAACAACTTTTCGCTAGTAAGTGACTATATAATATACATACGTGTAGTAAACCGATCATTTACGAAATTCACTTAAATTAACTAAATTATATATTTTCTTGCATTTTAGCTTTTATTTACTACTTGTCAAAGATCAGATGTCAAAGAATTTTGATACGTTAATTTGACTTACCTGCTTCAGTAGCGTATAAGATGTTTGTGTTAATAAATACTTATTATAACTTATCTCTTTTTATTAGAATTATATATTTTTATAACTATTTTAATAACTACCAACATTTATTCACAACGTAAAATAAAATAACAAATTATTGAGTCTACCCCACGTCTACCCTACATCATAGTTTTACATTTTTTAAATAAAATTAGAACGGTACTGATAAACGGGAATTTAAGTCGGCCATATTTGAGGCCCATCGCGGTGTACCTAAGATTTTTGATATGCTCCTTCCTTAGTCTTCTTATTCAAAGGCTTCAACCGCCTATCTTTAATACCAACATGTATTCAATAACAATAATTTTCAAAGTCCTAATTATTGTATAGTGTATCACAAAAAATTAAATTTTAAGCGGCTGTAGTAAAACTTTGTATTCATAAGTTTAGCATAAAATAGAGAAGTCATATGCACCAACAAATAATCGGGACTCGGTGGGACTTTTTGATAATTACGAAAAAAAGACGCAAACTATAATAAATTTCGCTGAAAAATGTACATTTTCACGGAGAATAGAGTTAAATAAATACCCAAGTGTTTCAAAATTTCTTTTAAATTATTCGTTAAAATATGGGCTAAAACTTTTGTATGGGGCACATGAATTAAGTCATTTATTTAATCCATAATTTGCTCTATAAATTTCCCACATATTAGATATCTTTAACAAGAAACGCATATATTGTATACCATAATATATAGCTTTGGGTGAATTTTTCAATAAAATTCGATTTTAGTTGATTAAATGATGGCTGTATGGCAGAAATATGTATTTGAAGAAATTTGTATTAAAAGTTTAAATACGATTTTAAGTGTTATGTCCAGCATTAAACATACGATCGTTCTACTGTGCGCCGTGCTGACTAAGTGGAATTTAACTTTCGCGCTAGGGATCCAGGTGGTAGCTCTGCTGTAAAAAATATCAAGGTGCCGCATTTATTTATTTATTTCCCGACATTGTCATTCGTTTTGACACTTTTTAGTTTTTTACTCCTTTAGTGCGAAGTGTACAAGCTTGTTGCCAAAAACTCATCGCAATCTTATTAGAATATTTTGAACGGGAAAGCGGTAATAATGGCCTTTTATGTCCCTTAGGTGCTGTTAAGGAGGTGAGTTTTGTTGATGTAAGTAATAACTGTTTATATATTTATAACTAATTCATTTTTGTCTCATAAAATATTTTGATTAAAAGAAAATATATAAAAATGGACAACGCTGTGCCGGTCAAGCTTAATCACGTGACTAAAAGTTTATTTGGTATGAACTGTAGTAGATAGGAGGCTCAACAATTTGTTCGACATATTCGCTGACTATTCAGCTGCTTTTTTATTATTTTCGCGACATATCTCTTGAAAAAAACCATTAATTTCTATTAAATCTCTTGAAAAAAACCATTAATTTCTATTAAACAGATCCATTATACTCCTACAAAAATACACTTTTTTGAATTTGATAAAATCTAACCAACACACATCAACCCTAAATCCCAACCGACTCCCAAACTCCTACTAAAACACCCCAAAAGCGAACAACCCCCAAAACACCACCACCCAGCGTCAAGACTTACTGAAACGTCTCATAAAACTCCCGGTGAACGAAGCCGGCGGACTGACCACACAATCGTCCTTATCCCTCAAGTCTCTAACCACCATATTGCCATCCCCTCTGGATACTTTGACGTTAGGCACAGGCAGGAACCGCTCGCCGTCGCGTTTCTGCTGGGAACCCTTCTTTTTATAGCCTCTGGGTGGTCGAATGGGAACTCCGTTGTCGTCTTCCAGGTCTAGGTTATCAGGTCGGATGGCCAGGCTCATCTTGCGGCTGCCTGGAGGGTCAGGCGCTAAGAGAACTGTGTCGAAGGGTTCGTCCACTTCGGGCGACATCTGTCCGGAGGAGAGCTCGCTGTGAGCAGGTTCGTGGAGTGGGGTGGGAGATTTAACACGGCCGTAGGGATCCACCTAGCGAGTCGAAGGGTTACTAACTGTATATTTCGGAAGATTATTACGAGGGACGATGTTTCACTTAATGTTTCAATGACATAAATTTAGATAGGATACTAAATATAACAATTAAAGTGTGTAATACCATTTAAAAAATGAGTCTATAAAATATTTAAATAAAAAATGTTTACTCCCCACGTTGGGCGCCAAAAATAAATGTGTTACGTTTTTCTGTTTTGGTTTGGTTTTTAGTCGCATTGCAAATAATTCTAGCTTTTTTTAATTATTTAAACATTTGAAGATTACAGGGAAAACCCAGCTTTGTCCATTTTAAATGCAACCGAGAAAAATTCAATTTAGTGTTAGAATCTGATCCCCATTGGTTAATTTTTAAAGAAATATATTATTTTCGGCTGAATAATTAGAAAAATATATATTACTACCATTTATTATATTATTACTACCTATTTTATTAATATTGTTTCTCCAAAAAAAACCTTTATGGGTATTTCGCCACTGCACTGCAAGAAAATCTACAAAATGAAATAGTTATTTTTTGTAAACATTTTAATAATAATATCATTTTAACAGAACGTCAACGGTTTCTTGTAGACGTATCTGTTTTAAAAAAGTAAAGTGTTCCCGAATAGTTGAATTTAAATATTTTAAATAGTTTTTTTCTTATTCTTTGTATTTTTTTTGCTTCCGGCGACGGAAAGAGATAAACTTTCCGAAACGTTAAGCATTTTTTTCTTTGTTAGGCAAATTTGTATAACTGTAAAATAACTTCTGACAAGCAGTGTCCGTTTAGGTTTAACGCAGAAGTGTTTACAGAAAATAACTATTTTATTTTGTAGAATTTATAGCAGTGCAGTGGCGAAATACCCATAAAAGATTTTTTTTGGAGAGATGAATCCGCCACATAGGTATAGACATTTTTTTTATGAATATTGTTAATTAACGCAATATTCTGAAATACCGAAATAAAAATTTTTAATTAAACGTTGTATAACGTATTTAAATCTAAACTATTATTTTTTGTTGTAGGATGAAAATTAATATTTAAGTAGGTTTTTATTAGAATACATAAATTTACTACATGTCAACTAACTGCAAGATACATATGCTTGTCGCCCATGCGTAAGGAATCTCTGGTTTTTGCCATTTATGCGTGGAATACGGTGGTTTTTTCCCTTATACGGCAAAATAACCAAGCTGTAATGTCTCTAGGGCTAAGTGTATTATTGCTTTCTTTGATGGTGCCTCAAATAACGGTAGCATTTGACTATAAAGTTGTGTTACTATCTTAATTTCAATGAAAATGTAACAAAAAGCTGGGTTTTCTCGTGTAGTCTTCATTTATTTATTTCTAACCAAATATAGCAATTTTATTTACCAAATACAGCTGTGTTTTGCTTTTTTTCTCTTGTATGACAGATGCCTTTTAAGTATATGTAGGTTTTTTTGGAAATATTGGCAAATTCACGACTGCACTATTGACGAAAAATAGCCGTTAAAAGGGTGTAACAGAAAAAAACATTACACACTTATTTTTGGCGCCAAACGTGGGGCTCTAATATTCGAGAATTTTGCTTAATAACGTTTTTGTTTATTATTAATTTGTTTCTTTCCACTTAAGCTTTATTCAGAACCTCGCAATTAGTGGAACAAATTAGTGGTTTCAATTACACTTTATACTTTTTAGTTTACAATCATTCACAATGGTTAAAAACACAATTAAAATTAATATAATATCCTAGCAACAGCTTACAGTAATCAGTTGTATCCATAAAGAAAGCCTAATATTTAGCTTATAAAACAATAAACTTTTAGATTTCTAACCACATTTCCTCTTGACGGATGATAATCAAAGGCCAAAATTACATTCTTCTCAAATTTTGAAGTATAATTAGTGAAAAAGTTAAAAGTTTGATAACTTTTTCTACTAATTGAAAACGTCTACCACTAATTTTGACGTTCTGAATGCTTAAGCGGCCCATACATTATCAAACAAATTGCGCAACAAAGCGATGCGCAACGCTGCTTTGCACAACTGATTCAGCCGTCCATACACTATCAAACAAGTTGCGCACCACAAACTGCATGTACTTAGTAAAATGTTGATTAAACTTTTTATTAAAAGTTGTGCATTGTTTGAGAAACAATCATGTCTTCAATTGCCATTGTGTCAATTATTATCGTATATACCCTAGATGATGTCGATGATACCAAAAAACGAAAAAGAAAACAAAGAATATGGATGAAAGATATTGCACAACAAAGCGCCACACACATACACTACACAACGCGTTGCGCAAACTGTCCTGTTGCACGAAAGAATTCAAACATTCTTGACACTCATCAAACAATTGCGCAACGCATCAAACACTACTATACATTGGCAACTCGTTGCGCAACAGCCTGCGATGCGCAATTTGATGATAATGTATGGACCGCTTTACATTCAAATTAGAGGAACAAACTTCTACGCTAATTGAAACCACTAATTGCCAGGTTCTAATGAAGCTTTAACTTTTATAACTATAAAGATAGTAATAATTATAATATTCTCCGTATAAAAAATAAACGAAATATACAATTGGTAACCCTCACACACCAACCCAATCTACTAACCACGGTGTTCTCCTCAGCCGAGTCTGGCGAACTGCCATTCTCCTGCTCCTCCAAGTTATCGATCAATTCGCTCCCTGGCAAAACGCCCGAATAGAATATACTGTGCCGTTTCTCCTTCAGCGAGTTCTTCAGTTTCATATCGACCTTGCTCAGCTGACGTTTCAGGCCCTTCCACGTGGACGATTTCCTCCTCACGGCCAGCATCGGTATGGGAATGGCGTCCTTCTCGTCTTCCAGCGCCTCCTGGGCCTGCTCCACCGGAGTGGGACAGGGAACGGTGCCAAAATTGAACGGGGACTCTGGAGAACGTCCCATCTATCGGTGATATAATGACAGAGTCGTAGTGGAGCAAATAATCGATTTTAAAAAGGGGTTCAAGTTTTAAAATTTAGTGCTGTACTAGCTCAAAAAACAGAAAAGATAAGGTTAAATTAAAAATAGAGTTGCTGGGTTGGAGATTGCAACCGATTAGGTTAATTTGCAAAATAATAATAATAAAAATTGTACACGGGGTGTTTGAGAAAGGTTGGCAATATCGAAGAATATAAGTATCTGTCTGGTTTTAATCAATAATATTTCTACTAGGCATTTGACATTTAAAACGATCAATATAAACAAAAAAAAATTGTGAATAAATATGATTTATTTTTCACATCATAAACTTTTTAAAAACGTTTATTGATGTTAAAAAAAACATAGAGGTTCATTTGAAATAGCCGATAAAAATACAAGACTTGTTACATTGATACAAAAAAAGTTTTGATTCATTGGTGTATTTTAGTATCTGTAAACTACTACCAACGCCTCTTAAAATACATCTAATTCAAAAGATAGAGAAATTTTCAATTTATCTACTAATTTTGGAGAACTTTAAATACTTTTAATAAACTATAGTTACTTCAAAAACCCCTCGGTATAGATTATGACATTATTATGGGTATTTTTAATGAAAATTCTATGAAAAAAAATAACTCATTGAAAAAATACAACTTTAGTGAAAAAAAAAATACTTGAATCATCCTTTATATCTATCAAAATATTGTTAAAATGTGCTTAAAAAAACTATTGCCTTTATACCATACGATCGAAAAAAAACAGCGTCAAACACGGCTGGTGGATGACAATCGATAATAATTTTGGCAAGGTAAAGCCCTAGACTTCATTTAGTTGGCTCTTATTCTTCTTTATTTTTTGTTATATATATAGGTTGCGATTTATTATTATATTGAGTAAAAATTATTTTTAAATGGTGTACTTAAAATTCGAGAAAATTTTTTTTGGGAATAATTTCCAAAGTTTGGTGTTAATTTCACAAGTTTTAAGTTTAAGTAAAGTAATTTTAAATTAATTAACAACTGACCATAATTTTGAACAAATGCCGTACAGAAATAATTAATTAAATCGCGTACAGCGAATATTCTTATATATTAAATAGCCTCCAAATTCCAAACACCCTGTCTAGATTTATATAAAGGTGTATATCTGTGCGGGTACTAACACTTAGCCTAGAAAACCAAAACATTACATTATTGTTATCGTCAATATAATATAATTAATTCTGATCAACCCTTATAAAAATATATCTTTCTACATTGTCAAGTACTAGATACTGACCTGGTCTATGCTAGGACTTCGAGGTTGCCTTTCCAACTCCTGTGCCAGACTGTCCGGAACTAACTGGTTCTTCTTAGGGCTCCTAGGGACCCTAGAATAAGGGTCTTGCGCGCCGTACAGGTCGGGACTGCCAACGTTCAGGAGGCAAACCCTCTGTTCTATGTCGATGATGACCAGGCCTGATTCGTTTCCATATGCCATTCTTAAATGAAATAAAAACTGATGAAAGACAGTGGAAACAGGAATATGGATGGAGTGCGCTTACAGTCCGTAAGAACTGTTGATTGTTAGTGACGAGATGTGACTGGGGGGTTCCCCGTTACTCCAGGGAGTGAGGCACACCAGTTGCGCCTGGAATCCGGGAGGTTTTTTCTGATTGCCTGCTCGCACTTTAAGCGTAGGTCCCTCCTGTCAATCGAACAACAAAGAAAATAGTAAACCTGGATCATATATCGCTGCTTTCCGACAAAAGCGGCTCGACTCAAAATTAATAAACTTTACAATTTTTAAATAATCTTTAAGATGGTGTTTGATAGTAAATAAGTATAGTTTTAAGTATATTTTTAATACCTACTGCCTTTAAAAAGTTAAGTATTTAATATTAATAGTTATTTTTTATACAAGACGATTATGCGATTTTATCGTCGTGTATAAAACAATATCTTTTTCCATAGCGAGTTACGTTTTAAAAAATATTCAGAAATTATTATTTCAAAGAATTTATTACGAGTAGAAAAAATATTGTGCTGGGTTGGCGTTGGTTTCTATGTAATTTAACAAATAAATAAAGCTGTCTCTTTAGTTGTCAGTTTTGAGTCAATATTTTTTAATTCTCTTTCGTGTCGATTGCTGATTGAATTGGAGCGTATGAGGATAACTTATGAAAAGGAATACAAAAATTTTCAAAAATGGAAGCAATTAAAAAACGTGCGAGAAGAAATAAAGTTTTTAACCTATCCTCGCTGCTAAAGTATCATTTAATCTACCCTTGCGGTTAAAGTAAGATCACGGCATATAAATCACACGGCAGGCCGACTCGCTTTGGCGGGAACGCTACGCGCATATCCTCGCGCACGCCGTCATTTGTGTTTCCATCAACAGAAAGTAACCAGTGTCGTAGTTTTTTCAGCGGCAACACACAGTTATGGCAGATTCGGGTCAGTAGCGTGCGACTTAATTTATTTTGATTTTTTCTTGAGTGATATATTTTGTTTTTGTTGTTTTATTTTTGTTTATTATGTGATATATTTGGGTTTTCTAGTTTTATTTTCGTTTCTTATGTATTACAATTGCTAAAAGGTGCCCGGTGGTGTAGAGGTACAGGCTCTCGTCTACCAATCTCAAGGTAGTGGGTTCGAATCCCACACCCGGCATTTCATGAACCGACAATTTTTATTAAAATAAAAATAGTTTGGGTACCTAGGTCGACTCAGCCTTAAATGAGTACTTGGGATTCACAATCCTGAGGTAACGCGAAATTTCGAGAAATAATAGGCGGTTGAAGCGTAGTGCTAGCCACATTACCTTTCTTGTATACCGAACGGCTCTAGCATGGCAAGCTGTACCTTGCTACTTCCAAGGCGTTAAACGCTATATACGGGAGCTATTATTATTATAATGTAATATAATTTGTTTTAGTAGTTTTATTTTTGTTGTTCAATAAAAGTTTCTTTCTGTTTCCTAGAGATCCTATTAGGTATGTATATATGTGATTAATTATTTTAACATATTTTAGTTGTAAAAAAAAAACAGTAGTATACATATTAGGACATTCAGCTGAATAGGAAGATCTAATTAAAAATCTTAACAAACTTTAATATTAGTAAGATTTAATGTTAAATATTTAGTAAAATTTAATGTTGTATCTAGACATTAAAAATTAAATTTAAAAATCATCATACTATTAATTTAAATATAATTATAAAAGTAAATAAAATGAGTATATCTAAAATAAGTTAACAATACATTTTGAAGATATAAATAAGGCCCACAAAAGGTACAAGTTGCGTTCTGTTCATTTTGAATTTAAAATGTTTACCAATTCACTTTGTAACCGTATAAAATACAATGCGGTACCTACTTTGTTTCCTGCCATGAAAAAAATAGAAGTTTCTCAAAAAAATTGTGGATTTATTAATTTGTGAAATTTGAATATTAATAAAATTTGCTACGCCCATTGATGGGCATAATTTGTACGTAGCCTCTTTATATTCAATAAATATTTTATTGGTATTTCTTTAATTCTTGTTTGTAACTCCTGGCATGTTTTTGTTAGTTGCATGTTTTTTAATTTTAATTGTCTATTCTCTACAGTGAAATATTTAATTGATTTTTTCATTTTTACTTGTCGAGAAGTATGCGTAAGACCCTGTCGTATTTTCTGAGAAATTTTTTGATACGTTTTAATCCGGCCCTGACTAGGAAACCATAATGGCTCCGTCAAGGTCAAATTTTATAGAAATTTTAAACAAAGGAATCTGAGCAGAGTTGGCGTGCCGATTGTTTTATGTGCCGTGGTAATATTTTATCTATTTTTGATAGATATAAGGCAATTTTAACAGTTGCTATGGAAAAAAAAGAAGTAGCCTTTTTTCTCGAAAATAAAGCCGCAAATGACCGACAAATCACAGTCTGGCTCGAAAATATTATAAAATAATACGGTCACTTTTTGTTTTGCGACTTTTTAATCTGTAAAGCAGGTCTCAAATAATATGTATCACCCAAATATATTATAAGAATATATTGCTAGTAAGGAACATAAATTGAAGCCAAATTTTTCAGATGATGTTATACAAAATCCACATAAGTCGGTCCTTTTCGTACAACAGCTTTGAACTACCCAAGCGTGAGAAATGCTTCGCGATTAGTTGATTTATTTCATACTAACCAATAGAAGTAGTTTTCTAAGTTTCTCTCTACCAAGTAGATCAATTTAGCGTTTGACTATTCGCGCCTTTACTTATAAATTTAAATTTAATCTCTGGCATATTTAAACAAAAACAAGAAACGGATAGATATGATGAATATCTAAAATAACAGGTTGAAATAATGCCATTACCCATAAAAAAAACAACATATTATACGTTATTAATATTTAAATTTTAAAATAGTGCGCGGGCAGGTGACAGCGTGCAGCGATGAAGTAGACAGATCATGTCAAAACCTGTTGAACCAAAAGGATAAACTTATGCAAGATTAATATAAGATAGTTAAGAGATATTTAATTCATAACTCACTTTTTTATTGTCTAAGTCCAACAAATCTAGCCTGTTTCCTGAGCCCGCACTTCCTGGTCCAGAAAACTGACAGTCCGGCGATATCTCGTCCTCAATAACCTCGTAAACTATCGGAATCTCTAGTACCATAACCTATAAAAGAGTAATAAACTTAAAAACATATTTTTCATACAAAAAAACCCTCCTTACTTCGTCGTTACTTTCTGTTTTCTTGTACGTGAAAAGAATAACATGACTAGAAGCTCCAGCTACACATAGTTTCCTGGATTCGGGGCAGAGGGATATTAGATATATCGCGAAAGGATCATCCTCGGCGTCCACAGAGCGCGTTTTCGGTTTTTCGAAAACCTTGGCCGTTTTTAACTTGTACAAAACTTGCAGCGTGCCAGCGCTGGCTTCCCAAAACTTAATACTACCATCTGCGTGCCTGGAAAAATAGATTATTTTGATTTCTTAAATTAAATTGCGATAAGCACCTTGTTGCTTACGAAATTTAAATATTTCAAATGTCCCAAATGATCTATAAACCCGTTTCTTTCTTCTACGTTTCAATAATAAGTAAATGGCAATTTTGCGCCTTCTGTTCCAATCCCACAGTCGAAATCGATATTCATAATCATTAAACAAATTTAAACTCATATTGTATACTATAAAATATAAAATAAATATTGTAAACACGAATAAAAAACAAATTAAGTTATCTCAGGTTATGATTTTTTTGGTAAGTTTCAGTGGAGTAAAAATTAAATGTCCCTAAAAATTCGCGACTGTATGAAATAGGTCCAAATTTTACGAATATTTTTTGGCGAATCGCTTTCCACAATTCGCGATTCGCGTGTACATGAAACAAGCACAGATTAGGTATCCTATAAGTATACAGATAAAAATCTTGTCCCTAATTCGTGGTACGAAAGTTGTTTTTTATGACGATGTGCAAACGAGTCAAATTTCCTGTGCGCAAAAATAAACTCGCGTAAAATAACAATAAACAGCGTAATAGAGAGATATCGCTAAACCGAATAGCGTGCATGGACGTTAATAAGGCCAGGTGTTATTTCCTTTACGTGAGGTGGTATTAACTCTCTTCATTTATAGTTACCGATCGGAAAGAATTCTGATCGCGTCGCGTCCGCTATTTAAACTTAACCTAACTTTGAATTTAAAACTTTGAAATTGTTTTGTTTACTAGGTATTTTAAAACTAAAGGGCTAAAGTGTTTATTTCCAGTGCTTTATTGTTCAACGTCTGCCAGTAAGTTTAGGGCAACAAGCAACAAATTCTCTTAGAAGGGCTAAGTCGTCATCTACTGTAAACCTAAGACTCTTTATAGGTTCTTTAGTATTGGAAGAGGTGGAATCCATATTTTGGGCCATATTTATTTAATTAAAACTAATCCCAGCTACTTAAATATCAAATTACCTAATAAAACTAAAGCAATAATTCAAAACAATTCAAACATAACCTAAAATAAAAGATCTCGCCGGCCGGCGACGGTTGTCAAATACCCGCACATGCCCATTTAAGCAATTTTTAAACGTTATCAGAGGTTATTTAGAAAGAGCGCTTGGTGTAATTGATCCGCAAATTACGTCAGGCGGTAACGTTATTAGCGGGTGTTGCGTTAAAAATTGACTCGCGCATATCGTAACCATGATGAGATACGCGTAAATACTGGATGACGCTATTCGGTTTTCCGATATCTCTCTAATAACTGTGCCGGTCAGGCGCTGTGCACAATTTTACAGGCCATAAGGGGGCGTGCTATGTGCGCAAACTAGTAACCTAACTAGTGCCCGATTCCGAAAATTGGAACCACGAAAAACAATAAAGAAAAAACAAAGATTATAATCTGTATAATCTGTGAAACAAGCTTTAGAAACCATTCTCTAAACAAGGGCATAATTTCCTTCTTACCCCGTAAGTATCACTTCGGCGTAGCTACACGCCTGCGCAGACCAGCTGCCTCCGTTGATCGGCCAGTCCATATCACTAAATCCCTGTCTTTTAAGAGCTCCCGCCCTACCCACTGAGTAGAACGCAGGGATCAAGTCGGCAGGGCAGTCCGCCAGGTAACTGACGCACGTCACTGGTGACTCGTGAATGTCCATGGGATAAGGGTTTTCTAAACAGGGGAATCCCGGAGTTTGGAGGTCCATAACGACCAGGTCGTTCTGGAGTAGGGCAATGATAGCGGTGGGTTCTTGAATATCTGAAATTATTATTTTAGTTTTTTTCTAATAAATGAATAAGAGTCACTTGTGTCCGACACCGTTACTGACTGTGTTGTTAATAATTCAACAGTGACGAAGAATAAGGAGACTAAAGAAAAAATTACGGATACACCCATTATTATCTGAGAGATATCAAAAAAGTGTATTTTATAATTTTGTTACTAATAATCTTGTAATTTACTGTCCCAAATAATTCGTTCTCCTTTCATGGAAGTTATAAAATCTTTGATACTACAACCAAGATTTCTTTCCATAATTAATATTTAAATAATAAAGAAACTCCCCACGAAAATAATAATACCAAACCGAAAACACGACATAAATGAAAACAATGTACAGGGTGGATCAAATTCGACGCTTTTAAATGGAAACACCCTTTTCTATAGGATATAGACGAAAACTAACATCGGTGTCTGGAGCTCAATTTTCATCAAAAACATGATGGTGAAAACCGCACATCAATATCTGTTACCGTTTCGGAGTTACGGGGTGTTTTTCAAAAATGTGCATTTTTAACAAATCGCTGTAACTTTTTTGCTGTGGAAAATTTTGTATTTCTATGAAAACATTTCCAAAGCACCTTTTTACGTAGAATTTAATGGTTTAAGTATAATTTTTTTAAAATTAATAATTTAAGAGTTATTGACAGAAAAAATGATTTTTTATTTGGGACACCCTCTATATTTTTAATTAACTGAAAAGAATTTAAAATTACCTTCCCAAAAATATAGCACACTTGATATTTTGTTATAATCCCTTTCGAAATACAGAATTTTTAAAAGTTCGCCACTTTTAACTAGTAGGCTTTGGACCCCTTATTGATGATATGCCCTTAATGGAACTCGAAAACATATTTTTCCAGCACGACGAGGCACCGCCTCTGAACACTGAAGTTATCAGCAAATTTTTGCAGCCAATTTCAAGAATAATTGAATAGCTAACCAAGATCCCAGCCGTTGGCCGTCGAGGCCGCCTGACTTAGTGCCCATGGATCTAATCCTATGGATATATTTGCCGAAGAATAAAGGTTCCTTATTTATTAGATATAGTTTAAATGTGATGATGTTGGTTAAATATATTTTAAATTGTTATAAAATTCTGCATCTCTCATAGCAAATATTATTTTCGTTTTAATTGATGCTCACAGCTAGAATTTTTTTGCATTACAGCCGGTGCCGTTCAAAGCCTACTTATTTAAAGTGGGCGAACTTTTATATACTCTATATCTCGAAGAGGAATCGAGCAAAATATCAAGTGTGTTATATTTTTGGAAAGGTAATTTTAAATTCTTTTCAATAAATTAAAAATATACAGGGTGTCCCATATAAAAAATCAAATTTTCTGTTGATAATTCTTAAATTATTAGTTTTAAAAAAATTAATCTTAAACCATTAAATTCTACGTAAAAAGGTGCTTTGGAAATGTTTCCATAAAAATACAAAATTTTCCACAGCAAAAAAGTTACAGCGATTTGTTAAAAATACATATTTTTTGAAAAACACCCCGTAACTCCGAAACGGTAACAGATATTAGTTTTTGTCTATCTCCTATAGAAAAGGGTGTTTCCATTTAAAAGCGTCGAATTTGACCCACCCTGTACAGCTAAAACTACAACTGCGTCCGGGCCTGTGGCAAGAACGAGACACTATACAGTGACTGCTACGCTACTAAAAGCAGTGTAGTCCCCAGAGTGGTTCGTCTGTATACGTAAAGTTTAAACAACGCTTTGCTAAATCTGAAGACCGGTATTGGACACAAGTGGCTTCCTGTGAACGAGCTCTAAATCTCAACATCTACAACGTAACTGTATCCTTATAGACATTAGATATAATTTAAAAAAATTACCACTAATGTAGGGTGATTCGCACACAGTGACGAAATCGATGACGTTGTGCTCCATTTCGAGTACTGTGGTAGTTTTGTTATGTACAACTGTAATACTGGGCGTTCGAGCTTGGTCGTAGGGCATGCCTCCAGAAAATATCACAAATGATTCACTAAAACGAATAGAAACAAAAAAGTTTAAAACACTTTAAATCAAAGTATTTTGCATTTTCAAAACTTTATTAAAAATTGATTTATCTATTCATCTTTATAGCTTTCTATATTGAATCATATTTTTAAGGATTTTAAAACACCAACAACTTTCGAATAACTTTAGACAAACTAATTTAAAAATTTTTAAAAGTGGTATTGTAAAATCATATCCAATTCATTAGACAGCCAGTCGATATGCGATCATTTACTTGAAACTCTGCATCATTGTAATTTCCAGCTTATTGAATTATTTCCAATTATGGTATAGCGTTTCCCTCACATATTTAGAAACTCTCTTCGTAGTTAGGCCCATTGTTGTCTATTCGGGGAGAAGTTATCCCTGATAATTGCCTAACATCATGGTCCCATCTCAGCTTTGCTCTTCTTCTAGGTCTCTTATTTCCTCGTGAGTACCAAGCTGTAATTTTGGTGGTTCATCTGTTGTCAGTCCTTCTTGCCAGATATCCTGCCCATTACTACTTGAGGGATTTGATTCTGTGGATGACATCTATTACCTGAGTCTTTTGTAGTATCCACTCTATCTTTTTATGGTCTTTTTTTATTATTCGCAGTATATCACGTTTCATTGAGCGTTGTGCGACCTACAGTTTCCTTATAATGTCACGGGTCAGGTTATGACAGGTAATACACATTGATCGAATGTTTTCTTCTTTAGGTAAAGTGTGATTTAAATATGATTGTGTTTCTTTTATATGTACTCCATGCTAACTTAGTTCTTCTGTTGATTTTTGGTAGCAGAGATCCTGAGAGGTGTATTACTTGTCCTAAAACTCTCAACTTGGTCTTTGCATACTTACCTAAATATTCGCTTATCTTATGTTATGTAACAGTCATTTTATGAGCTCCATTGAAGCTCCGTTTATAAAAAAAATATTGAGTCTGGTGCTCTACAACCTGAGTTATAAAGCCGACTGGCTGTCTAGTGAATATGCTGTGGTTACAACAAAAGGTTAATATTACATATAGGTAAAATAATATAACTGAACTTACTTACCCTGTCTTGCTACTCTTCCACTCGACTTTATTGATTGTTTTACATTGTTCCGGTTTACCATCTTTATTTAATTTAGCTGTGAACAGGACATGACATTTTTAGAGACTTTTTTAGGAAAGTCTAGAACAAATAAGAGACACACTTACCGTGTGGTTGCGAAACGTGCACAGATTTTTGATTATTTCGAATGTTCCACGTGGTCAGGGTGCCATCTGTGTGGGAACACATGAACTGTTTACCCTCGTAGTGCCACGCGATCGACCTCAGTTCGGCAGTCTGCCATCGCATGTCGGACATTTTGCTTCTGAGATCCCATAGTACTACTTGGCCTGATTCGTAACCTATTAACAGCTGTAAAAAATGTCAATATACTTAGATTAACATAAAAGAGTGATACAACAGTAGTCAAATAATGTCTATACCTATATGGCGGATTCATCTCTCCAAAAAAATCCTTTATGGGCATTTCGGCACTGCACTGCAAGAAAAATCTACAAAATAAAATAGTTATTTTTTGTAAATACTTCTGCGTTAAACCTAAACGGACACTGCTTGTCAAAAGTTATGTTTACAGTAATACAAATTTGCCGAACAAAGAAAAAAATGCTTAACGTTTCGGAAAGTTTACGGAAAGTTTTTCGGAACGTTCTCTTTTTTTCAAGAAAGTCAACGGTTTCTTGTAGGCCTATCTGGTTTAAAAAAGTAAAGTGTTCTCGAATAGTTGAATTTAAATATTTTAAATATTTTTCTTCTTTATTCTTTGTATTTTTTTGCTTCCGACGACGGAAAGAGATAACTTTCCGAAACGTTAAGCATTTTTTTCTTTGTTAGACAAATTTGTATTACTGTAAACATAACTTCTGACAAGCAGTGTCCGTTTAGGTTTAACGCAGAAGTGTTTACAAAAAAAAACTATTTTATTTTGTAGATTTTTCTTGTAGTGCAGTGGCGAAATACCCATAAAGGATTTTTTTTGGAGAGTAGACAAATAATTTTCGCGTCGATATTTCAGTGAAAATTCGATATCAGTATGACTCCTAATTGTAGAGGACGCCACCTACATAGTTTTAACTGTTGTGAAGAGTTACAACTTTTCTCCTGTATACTTGTACCGTATGATCGAAAAAAAACGGCGTCCAGTTGGCTGGGAAATGACGATCAATGACATTTCCCATATAAATTTACATATAAAATGACAGCGATCTTCATTTCATAGCCATCGTTAACGCCGTTTTTTCTCGATCATACGGTATTTCATTACTGTATGAACACGAATACATGTAATTATTGATAAAAATTAAACATGTTCACTAGACGGAAAATTTATGAAAACCTTTGCGAGAAAAACATTATTACTCTTCAAAACAGTAAAAATATAAAAAAGTAGATGTCATACCGACATCCAATTTCTCATTTTTTCTAACATCAAATTTTCCCAGTTACAATTCGGACCACCCTGTATATTACTTACTTTGCTGGCGTCTAAAGGATTGTCACTAAGATGTACTATACATCCGGGATGAGTTTTTCTAGTTAATTCTATTGCTTTGTTCCAATTAATCACGTAGCCAGACAGCGAGAAATTTTCTATTTGTACTATGTGAACGTTCCCTTTCTCTGTACCAATGTACAGCCATTTTGACTGTAAAGGAAGGTGCATACAGGTTATCCTGAAGAAAAAAAAACATAAATATCAGTAATTATATCAGTCTAAATAATGTCTAAAACTCACTTTTCTTTTTGAAACTTTAAACTCTGTACTATTTGGGGTACTTTTTGCCGAAAGTTCCACAGATGTAGGGTGTCGTCCGCAGTGGCAGTTATCAGGGCCCCCTCGTTGACCAGGAACTGCAGGTGTAGTACCGCGGCAGATCCTGGGGGGCCCTCCATGTCGTGCCTCACGTGGACGTCCACGCCAGGTTGGCCCAAACTAAATCATCTTGTTAAGGAAAATTGGGACAAAGTAAAATAAAAATTAACAATAACCTGAAGCAAAATTATAGTACCAAAGAAATATAAGCTTTACATATAATCGTTGATTGAAAGAATTAAGAAGGTACGCAACCTAATGGGCGAATTCGTGACAAGGCTGATTTAATTTCCCCTCACGTCTCAAGTGCTGTACGGTGGAGACACCAATCGTTCTGCGGTCAACGCATAAAACATTTCTTTTCTCTAATTCGGCCAGCGAAGTCATATCGGAGACGGTGTGGATCTGAAAGCGACAGTGTTGCCATATTAAAATGTCTAATATCTGTAATACGTTTGACGAAAATATCTTTGGATGAAAAATCCGCGTTTATGTATTGAAAATTTATTCGTGTTAAACATAGAATAAACAACAAAAATAAAAATTCTTTTACAGGTACTGAATATGTCGTATGATCGAAAAAAAGTCGTTTAGTTGGCTTGGAAATGACGATTATTGACATCTACCATAATATTTTACATATGAAATAACAGCGATCTTCATTTCCAAGCCCACTCTGGTGCCGTTCTTTGTTTAATCGTATAAAATTATATTAAATTGTTTAATGATAGAAAATCCGTATTATTAACGTACTGTACCCAAAATCCGTAAAACTACGGATTAATAAGTAGCTCTGGCAATTTTATATGTAAAGTTATATCGGGAATATACAGGGTTGTTCACCACATACGACATGGAGTATTATAGCTAAACGATTAGATTTTTACAAATTGTAAGTTTTGGGTTCGTTGAAGGACTATTAGAGCTACAATTTAAAAATATTTTTACAAAATACAGAGTGTCCCAAATAAGTAAAAAATATCAAAGTTGTATTTTTTTAAATGGAACACACCTGTATATTATTACATTTTTAGTTTCTGCGATTAAAATAAAGGTAAATTTGATTAAGGTTTATCACACTTAAACCTTACCGTTTTTGAAATATTTTCAATTTTGTGAAATTGCAGTAAAAATTTTAAGGCTTCATTTCTCCAAGGGTATCAAAGTTTTTAATACTAAATATTTACTGAAGTTTAACTATTGATCAGTTATTGTGTTGCAATAATAGAAATAATACTACCTCATACTGAGTGTCTATAAATTTATTTTAAATAATATCTAGCTTTAAACGGCAATAACTTGTTTAATTTAAATGGAACACCCTGTATATTTTAGGAGAATCAGATGCACAATTTAATTGTCCATCAAATTGTATTATACCGTTTTTTACCTACCTCTTGAAGTTTCCGTAGAAAATGCATTTTCTTGTAATTTAGACCTCATTTATCAATATACCCATGGAATATTGACATTTTAGATTGTTTTTAAAGCAACAAATGTACAAAATGTGCAGATGCTAAAAGCGATAATATTACCAGCCTATTTGTATACAAAAACAAAACTATTTAAATCTTTATAAAAAAGTATACCATTAATTAAATATAACACCATTATTTCCGCCCAAATATTAATTAATTACAATTGTGTTAGTTAATAAATTATTCTAAATAAATGTGGATTTGGAATCAGAAATCAATATAATAATAAGTTATGAAAATGAACGTTTCTGTTGTTATAAATAAGCATTCGTCAAAAAATGAAATAACATTTTTAAGGTGTTACTTTTTACCGCACTATCTAATGCACATACAAAATTCAGTTTTTTAGTATTTGGAGCAATTATTATTAATCCACGCAAACAGTCAATTAATGTAGTTTGAATATACTCGAATCATATTAATTGGTCCTCTTTTACAAATATTTAAACAATTTTTTTTATTTTTAATGACATAAACGAACTATATCGACAATATTAGTATCTGTACCCTTTAAAAATTTGTTACATCTTTAAAAAAAAATCTAAAATGTCAATATTCCATGGCTATATTGATAATTGAGGTCTAAATTATAAGAAAATGCATTTTCTACGAAAACCTGAAGACATAGGTAAAAAATGATATAATGCTATTTGATAGACAATTAAATTGTGCATCCGATTCTCATAAAATATACAGGGTGTTCCATTTAAATTAAAGAAGTTATTGCCGTTTAAAGCTAGTTATTATTTAAAATAAATTTTTAGACACTCTGTATAAGGTAATATAATTTTTATTATTGCAACACAAAATTTAGTAAATAGAAATACTTCAGTACAATATTTGGTTTTAAAAACTTAAATACGCCTAGAGAAATAAAGCATTAAAATTATTACTGTATTTTGACAAAAACCTAAATATTTCAAAAACTATAACATTAAAATGCGGTAAACCTTAATCAAATTTACCTTTATTTTAATCGTAGAAACTAAAAATGTAATAATGTACAGGGTGTTACGTTTAAAAAAATACAACTTTGATATTTTTTACTTATTTGGGACACTCTGTATCTTGTAAAAATATTTTTAAATTGTAGCTCTAATAGTCCTTCAACGAACCCAAAACTTGCAATTTGCAAAAATCTAATCGTTTAACTACAATACTCCGTGTCGTATGTGGTGAACAACCCTGTATATATGTTCATTTCCAAGCCAACTGGACGCCGTTTTTTTTTCGATCATACCGTATAAAAATGTCGAAATAAATATAACAAATATTGTAAATTCCTAGACATTCCACACGTGCACCACATGCAAAATTAAAATACCAATTTCCATATCCACGTCCCGCCAGAAGAAAAAAAAGCGCGGCGCAAACTTCTAACTTTTAATACGGCCTTTTCTTCTCCACGTCCCTCCTTATTTTCCTCCAACCTTCAGAGCTCCCTCCCTCCAGGGACGTCCTTCCTCCTCCGCATCATTCCTCACCCTTCCAGGGCGCCACTAACCGAACTTGAAATATAACAAGGCCTAACCCATGAATATTTAAAGGGAGAACGAACGTAGCTGAAACAAGACCTCAACAAGTTGTCGAAAGTGCTGCTCTGCTTCAAGAAGATGGAAGAAGAAAAAACTGAGAGTGCCTGAGACCGAGTTTCACGGTTGACGGATCGCGTAAAGGTGGGAAAATGAAAAGCTGCACGGAGACGGATTGCTTATGTCAGGAATAAGTTGAAAAAATGACAGAATTATTTTTATTTTTTATTTGGATTTTTCTCTTCTAAATACAACATTTTTTTATTTTGATACAGCTTTAGGATTAGAAATTACTTTCCTTCGTAGCCATAAAATATTTTTATTTTCCGTCCATAATATTTTTGAATACGATAACTCTTTTATTTTGATTCAGTTCTCGAGTGCATCTTCCACAAAAAAAAACTATGCTGAAATATTTTGAGAAACATTTTTAAAGAAATATTTAGTTAAAGGCAAAATTTCGGTATATAAAAATCTAGAAATAAGCATAAAAAATATTCTAAATTCTAGACATTCCATACGTGCAGCACCACATTCAAAATTAAAATATCAATTACCATAGAAATGATTTTCTTTTTTAGCCGAAAAATATTAATATGTTCTGTATATTGTCGTAGTTATGTAATAAACATTTCGCATCTTTCTCTCTCAGATTTACAAAATTCCCACAGCGATTCACTCCTAAACTTATGTAAATACTGACCCAAGACTCTCTGTTGTCCACAGCGTATAACAAGAGTTCAAATACTACTAAAAAATAATAAATATCATGCATTCTCTTTAATAATATGATTTTCTTACAATCGATTTTAGAGAGTTTATTATTCGATATTTTTACAACTCTAAAAACATTCGTTAGTGCTAGTATAAATCATACGCCGTAAGTTTGCTATAAAGAGACTCAAATAAAATAAAATAAAATATAACAGAAATATTTTCCGTTTCATTAAAAAAGGATTTATTTAATAGTACCAAGAATTCTACAGTTTTCGTTCTCCTTACTTTAATATACATACTTTTCCCAAAGAATTTTCTAAGGCAAACTTTAGAAATATTCGCCAAGGAAGTTATAAATTTCCCGAGCAAGAAACTAGAACAATTTATTATCGCAAGCAGAGCTTCTAAATCATTTTGTTTTTGCTTGAATATAAATATCTCCTTCCTTTCTATCCAGTGCTTTCTATGCAGTTGCTCAAAAATAATTGACATATCTACCTGTACAAGAAAAACAATGTAACTATGATCCCTTCCCCGACACAAAGGTACATTGTGAGACAGGAAATTGTAGAGAGAAACAAGCCCTATAACATAGGATACAACATTTTAACGAACAGTGCTTTCCAAAAAATCAATAAAATGAAAAATATACGAAATAATATACATGTACTGATTTCTTTCGAAAATCGACAACTATGAAACTATGATCCCTTCCCCGACACAAACGGTACATTGTGAGACAGGAAATTGTAGAGAGAAACAAGCCCTACAATGTATATGAAACTAAATATTTCAAATTCATTCCGACAAAAAAATGGCCGACAACAAATAATTTGATTAAAACGGGCTACAGTCCGAAGCTGTCAGAAAAAAAACAGATAAAATTCGATTAGGCTCGGACACGAGGGGTAGCAATTAGTTTTCAATTTGGGCGCGCCAAAAACAGAATATTAAATAAAATTGGGACGGCTATGCGGACATCTAACCAGAGGCAAAGGCTGTAATAATTCAACGCGCGTATAATCTATCAGACGGACGTCAAATCCCTATAAATTATGAATTAGGGCATCGGAGAATGTGAAGAATTATTATGTTTTATTCATTAGCGAGTGTTACACAAGTATTCACTGAAAACTAAAGGGAATGATAAATGGGAAAAAATGAAGAAATTATGTTTTACCTGTTTTCATTCTTTAAAAAAATACCAGTTTGAATTTTATTAAAAATAATTAAATTGTAATAATTTTTTTTCTGTATTATTTTAGTATTGTTGTTGGAATACCAAATGTCATAAGCCATGATGCATTTTAAGACATTATCTTTATCTCTGTACAATATATATTGTTTTATATATTTTCATTTTATTGATTTTATGCAAAGCACTGTTCATTAA